TGTTGTCCTTAGACTCTGACTGATTTTCCAGACACAAACTAACTCTTCCTAAGTATCTGCACACCCGATAGCATGTCGGCATCCTGAAAATTTTCTAGGCATTGTTGCAACATTAATAGGAAATAGTTGTAGTAAAGCCACTTATAGGAGTATTAAGAAGTCAAATAATAATAATAACAAATTGAAGGGGACACCAAGCATGACCCAGGAAGGGATAATACTCTGCATCCTATTTTTGCAATCAAGAGATCAAGAGACAAGCCATTCAGCTATGTAGCAAGACTGCTGCCCGTAAACCAGTATGCCTCCCAGATTCCTAACAGCAACAGCAAAGAACATGTTCTCTGGTGACCTCTGCAGATTTAGCAATTCTGTATTTATTTTTTTATTAAAAAAAAAAAAAAAAAAAGCTGTTGCTGGATGTAATTTCTAGGTATTGCAATTAATTTATTTTTAATCCCATGTAGAAATAATTTATACTGTCTTGGTTGCTAGCTATTTGAGATATTGTGGTTACATTTTTTGTGTCTTTGGTACATTTTATTGTAACATTCTCAGGGCACTGCAGCCAATTACTACATCTCATGCTGTTTTACTTGCTACACAGCATCATCCAAGCATTTTCCAGCAAGTCCTTGTGGGTAACTGTGTCCTGGTCAATAAACACATGTATGTCCATGTGCAGGTAGGTATGAGCTAAGCGTCAACTGAGCCATTTGGATTAATGACCCTTTGGTTTCGCTTCCGTGGTCTCGAGCCTCTTAGCTCAAACTGTGATAGCGTTTTAAAAAAATACATTTTTAACATCAACCTGAGCACATTTGGAATACAAAAGCTTAGTTGATTATCTGTCTATCGTGCTTCCACAGTGTATAAACTTCTCCCAGCTTTTCACTCCTCTCTCCCTCCTCCAGCCCCCGTTATCTCATGTTCAGCCCCACAGTTGTGCTGGTCTGCTCTTGGCTGTCCCAGTCCTTCCCCTCATTGCTGCTGCTCCCATGGTGTGCGTGGGGGAAGTGGGAGGGACAGTCCCAGTGGGGAGCACAAACCCAACCAGCTACACAGCAGAAAAGGGAACGAGAGACACAACGTGCTGGGGAAAGTGCCAGAACAATGGCTTGTGGCCAGGACTTGGCAAGGGCAGAAGATAATAGCACCCACAGATTAAAGAAGGAAAGTGGCTGGAAATAAAGTTTGTAGGTCTCAGCCAACCAGATCATTAAAGGCAGTTAAGTGCAAAGGAGTGCAAACCCCAGCACTTGATGTAGGGGACGAGCTGTAGAAGAGAGGGGCGAGGCAAGGAGGCAAAAAGTGAATTAACGAGGCTACAGTACCATCATCCAAGAACCTAGAGAACAGCTATACCTTTCAATCACAGCTACGATACGTGGGATTGCCCCTTTCAGGTTTCATCCCTACAGCTGAGCGAGAGCAGTCACACAGGAAAGCTTGCCCTAACGCACTGGAAGCTGTATCTAGCATGCAGAAAAATTAATCCACCATTGTAGCTAATTTGGCCGTTTTCATTTAGGACTCTATTCACTGTATTCTATTTATTTAGAGAGATGACACATACAAAACAATTTCCTAGAGAGGCTACTGTTTCTAGAAGTCATTTCTCTAAATCAAGTTTTGAAAGGAAATTGACAGCAGACAGTACGTAGTACTGACCCCCAAAAAAGTAACTTAGTCCAACGTGCACTGTCCATCCCTCTTTCAGAGCATGTTTTTCCCTTGTGCTAATGCTGTAGGTACTTTCTGATTCTCTGTGAAATTGGAAAACATTAACAGTTTGCAGAAAGGGGAAGAGAGGAGTGACAGTGAAGACCAGTGAAGACAATGAAATCTCACCGATTTAGCACGTCAGTGCTTTTCATTCTCTGCTGATCCAAGGCAGTAAAGGGAATAAGAACAGAAAATAAATAATATTCCTCAGAAAGACATAAAAATGTAAGTCTTACTAAAATCCACATTTGCCCCACCAGTCCCTCCAGCAAGCCGGATCAGCTTGCTTTGCTCATGTGAGCATTTTCATTAATTTGAACTGGAACATTGCCTGACAAACGAGCGTTGGATCTTCCCTTTCTGGGCAGAAGCACTAACTACCAGCTGAAATACATCAACACTCCAGATAAGCCATGAACTATTGTATCCGTTGATTTACTGCTGATTAAAGACTCCCAAGTTGCTCCTAGTCCTGAGAATTAACATAATTGAAAATGTTACATTAACATATTAAAGAAATGTTCTGAAAGTGCATTAGTCTACCAAGCTGAATAAATAAATAGGTTGCTGGCTGATGGTCCTTTCATCAGTTTAGGGAAGAGTTCTCTGATTTCCACTGTGTGTATCTGCAGAGAGTTGAATACACAGCTTAGAGCTGTCACAACTGCAACAGCAAAATTCTATTAGTTTTCCTTTAAGCTGTATATCATTGGTCCTTACAAAAACCATTTCCTAGTTGTAAACAAGACACTCAACTCACCATTTAATATTACCAAGAGAGAAAAGATACTCCTACTTTGGACACATTATAAACTCCACTAATGCAACAGATTGTTTTAGAAAGAAAAGCGTAGGCCTGTTCTTTCAGTAAACGGCATGCAAAACTTCAGCACAAAGTCCCATAATCTAAAGAAATCGGTTATTAATCTAATGAGAGAGTACTTAAAAAAAAATTATGAAAATCTCATGTCTTAATTGGTTGAGATGTGTGACACCACTGTTAAAAAACGCAGTGGCCTACCAACCCTGCAACTGGAAGTAACGCCAAAGATAAAGCATTGTCACAAAAGTAACAACTTTTTTTTTTTTTTTCCTTTTTTCTTTTCTTCTCCTGACTGCAATTCTGTGTTAATTGTGTTGTTTCCTGCAGATGGCTGAATGTAACATCTACAATTATTGGTAGCAAACCTGAGTCATTTTCATGGACTACATCAGTGTGAGACCGTGCAGGAGCCGAGGACGGAGTCGCAGGGAGAGAGGGTAAAACCAGCACCGACAGCCCTTGACAGGAGGTCAGGCTTTGCTCCCTGGGAGCTAAAGTCACTGATTCTCCAAGGGTCTTTGCTTGTGCTACAAACAGGACATCTTAACCTCTTCTACCGTACCCCATATTAAAGTGTTGTCTATGACTGGAAGTGTACCTTGCGAGTTCATGCCAGTAACTAGAAGTCCCCAGCAAACAATCCAGGTTGGCAAGTAAGGGCCAAGTCTTGCAAACACCAGCTGGTGGGCAGTTCAACTTGTTTTCCAGGAACCGGGTGAATTACAATCAATCATTCTCAACATTGCGCTGAATTACACACTGAAGTGCTAAAGATGTTGTACACAGGGAAAGGTGTCACGACTTTCCCAAAAGGCAAAAATTATACATTGCGTTTGGGGCTGTCCAGGGCAGCCCCACAAGTACTCGCACCGAAACTCACAAGACTGAGATAACATTTGGTGGGAAAATAGATCCTACATACTGACTTTTTCTGAATACGCAGAAAACAAAAGAAAACCCAAGGAGAACACATAAGAAAGCATATCATGCTCCTGTATTTCCTCAAGGTGATTTAACATAGTAATTATTACAACGTGCACGAGGAAAGAGCACAGCACTTCAGTAATATAAAACTTCAGCACAGCATCTGTTACTAAACTTTGCTCAGAGGTAAGGAGAGGCAAACTGGGTAAATTATAAAACAATTGAGTGGCTAGGAAAGAAAGCTTGGCAGAGTTTAAAAACAAATTTCTCACACGCAAAAACCAAAACTACCACTACTGTTATAATGCCTGCACACAAAAACCAAAACTACCACTACTGTTATAATGCCTGCACACAAAAACCAAAACTACCACTACTGTTATTATGCCTGCACACAAACCCAAATGATAACATTCAATTATCAGGAAGCTGATGCGAAACACTTCAGCAAATTCAGTGGATTGCTTGAATTTGAAGCTTCTCTGCTGCTTTAAGGAAAATGTAGGCAAAAGACAAATCCTTCAGGCATTGAGTATTTTGCCTCTTGAGTGCTGAATGTTGGCAGCTCCCTTGTTGCTACACTGTTTGTTGCTTATGAAAAGCAGCTACATTTGGAGGTACTAGTAATACCCAATAGTATAACATCTATATTTCTGAAGTCTACCTCCTTCAACACCAGAATACGCAACATTCATGAGACTTGATAGGGAAGTAGAGGAGTGATGGCTTAAAATGCTGCTTTATAGTTTACCACAAAGATAGCTGAATGAAGATAATTTTCTATCAGACTTCCAAGTTTCCAAGCAGGGCAGAGAGGAAAGAAGACTGCATTAGCAAGTCAGGCTATTTTTTTCATAAATTTTCTATAACCTTTTCTCTTTTCCTTACACTCAAACTTCATATTCAGGGCAGTTACTCCGCGCTTATCTCAACTGGACATGACCAAACAAAATTTCCACAACCACTGGAGTGCAATCTGGACAAGAAACCTAGAATTTATTTTCTGTCATATTGAGCAAATGAATGTGCCCTAAACTATACCACTGGGACAGCATGCTTTTCTATTCTCATGAGAAAGATATTAGAAATCAACTTGCTAGTTGTAATTTTTAAACCAAGTATGTTTCACCGCTGTAAACACAGTTTTCACTTCATGCTCAAATTTTCCTCACCTATTTAAATTCAATTCATTTGGTGTCTGAGACTTAAAAAGAAATTTCTTCCTTTGCTTCTAGCAGCCCTTTGAAGGAGTCAAACAAAGAAATGCTGAAGAGGACATTTTTTTAGATTACTCCTTCTTCTGTCAGTTATTAATCCTACAGAGAAAAATGAAAGGTTTAAAACCTTCCAACGCCCACTTGAACAGTTGTTAACGCCAATTGCGAGATGATACTGTCCCAGACAACCCCAATGAAGCAAATTAATTAAACACAGTAAAGCTTTGAAAAGAATGTGAGGGGAGAACAAGTAATTATTTGCATATAGCACACAGACAGACAGACACTCAAGCAACGAAGCGATGTCCTACCTCTCCTTGCCGGTGATAATGCTTGGGAGGTTTTCCCATCTGCTCTAGCATTTTGCCCTTCTTACTGCTAGCAAGCATCAGTCCCTGGTGGATGCCTGCAGATCTGTTGGTTGTCTGAGTTGGAGCCTCCCCCATCAGGGTGGACTTGATGGAGTTCACCTTGGAGCTGGAGCTGTCTAGCTGGGAGCTCTCCACGATCAGGACCGCGGCTAGTAAGAGGAGACAGCAGGAGCACTTATTCCACATCAGCACGATCATCTCCCCTCCCCCCAAAAGGATTATCTTTTTTTCTTTCTTTTTTTTCTTTTTTCTTTCTTTTTTTTTTTTTTTAAGGGAAAGGAAAAAAAAAAAGAGGGGGGAAAAAAAAGTTTTTAAAAATATCTCCCGAAGTTGATAACAAAGCAATGGATTTCAATGCCACACACTCAAGGAACTGCTGTTCTGAGAGACACGGGAGAAAAATAATTTAAAAAAAGAATCCCCTAGGTAAAAAAAAAAAAAACGTGTCAAGTCTATAGGCACTGAGCAACTATCGGGTCTGTAAAGCGACGGCTTTTTCCTCCAGGTCCTTGAGAAGTCCAGGCAATTCTTTAGTGACCGAGAGCTACAAGGCAACTGCACCCAGGGCAGCTCCCCACCAGTGCAGTCACCAGCACGTTTGCTTAAGCTTCAGAGGAAGAGTGAGCGAGTTACTTCCCCCCACTCCTCCTCTCTCGCTGCACAAGCCAGCAGAGAGGAAACTCAAACCAGATCCAATCCAAGCAGCACCGGCAAAAGCTGGGCTTAGTTTTCTTTCACTCTCTCTCTCTCCCCCTCTCTTTACTTTTTATTCCCCTCCTCCTTTTTCTGTCTTTCGCCTCAGCCTCTGCAGCCAGCAGGAGTGAAAGCGCCCGGTTTCCTCCTCCTCCTCCTCCTCTTCCAGCCCTCCCGTGCGGGGCTCTGGGCACCCAGCGGTGGGGCAGGGGGAGCCCCGGGACACAGAGGGACAGACCCCCCAGCAGGCTCTCTGTGCGGCTCCCCTTCACACTCGGGGGTCTCCGGCAGCCTCTCGCTACCCCCGTCCCTATTACAGCTGCCGGCAGCGGGTCCCTTCCCTCCGCCCCCGAGCCCAGCGCAGCGACTCTCACCCCCTCCATCCCCCAAACCCAGCTCCCACCTCCCAGGAGGCCACCCTCTCTCCAGTTTGGCCAGTTCCCCCTCTCTCCAGCCGGGGTCTGCTCAGGGCTCACGGCCACACACAGCCCAGGACATAGAAACCCCCAAGATTGGATTTTAAACCGTTTTACAGAGCACAGCATTTGCTCTGACCCGGGCTTCAGAGAAGCTCATGTTTACTGGTTTCGAGTGCCAAGCTCTTGGCTGAACCTTACTGCCACCTCAGTGCCCAGCCTGAAGGTGGAGGTTAAGTTGCACCAAAGGCTCTCCCGCACAGGCTCCCCAAAATGCACTGCCACACTGAAGTATGTGTCAAGGTGCTCCAGCTCCCTGAAACACATAGAAGTGCAAAGCACATTAGTCCTGCAGTGCTGCGAAAGCGCGGGGCTGGCACACAAACCCTGCCAAATGTTATGCCCGAGCCTGCAAAGTCTTGGTACAGAACACATCCAGCCACTAATACTGCACTGCACTACTCCTAAACACGACACTCCTCAGTGCCACTAGCACCCCAAGAGACTTACTTTGCATTCATCTTTTCCATTTCCTTGGCACAAGCACACAACCAACTGCTGTGGATCATCCAGGTGCTACTAACTCCACGCACACGCTCCACGGCCCTTGCACCTCCCTGCTGCAGCACCAAACCGCTGTTTCAGGAAAAGGAAGGTAAACAGGGGCACAGAACACAAAATTAGGAGAACTGGGGTAAACCCAGCTCTTCTCTTTCCCCTGTTACCTGCAAAAGATTTAGTGCAGAGATCGCCATGGGGCCCTTGTGTACTGCAGTGGAGCAGCTACAAGCCTTTGTCTTACCCTTGGACAAATGAAAGTGGGGTGGAGGGAACCAAGGAGGGTCTTGCTGTCCCACACGTTCATGTATGAAAACAAGCTGGACTGGGAACAGTACAGAATTTTCATGTTCTTCCCTCTCCTGAGGGATCCCCTCCTCTAACCTGTCAATCCTTTCCAGTTACTCTACCTCTTTACATGGCGGAAGGGGTGAAGATGAAATGCACACCTGAAACTTCATTTATTCTCAATTAACAGCTGTACAAAAGGAGGTTGCTAGCAAGAAATACCAGGGAGGAGTGGGACCCTCTTTTGGCCCCCGATGCTCCTGCCCCCAGCGAGCAGAAGCCCTCCTGGGGCATAGGAGCTCTCTGGAGGTGAGAGGTCCATAAGCCACAGCACTTTGAATAAATTTTTTAAATATTGTCTATCAACACGTGACTGCTAGCAGTGCGTCCTAGTGCTAGGGCTTGTATTGTGTTAAAACACAGCATCTTGTAAAGAGTAGATTAACTTAAGACTTTTTCCACAGCTCAAACCTTAGAACTGTTTGGGAGGATTTAATCCCATCTCACATGGAAGGTTGGTTGTTTTTTTTAAATTAACACCTGAAATGACATAGAAACCCCCAAGATTGGATTTTAAACCGTTTTACAGAGCACAGCATTTGCTCTGACCCGGGCTTCAGAGAAGCTCATGTTTACTGGTTTTGAAGTTGGAAGCAGTTTTATTAGCACTTGATTTCAGAAAATTAGGTTAAGGGCTCCATGAGCCCCAGCACTTTGGATAAATTTTTTAAGTATTGTCTATCTATCAACATGTGACTGCTAGCAGCGTGTCCTAGTGCTAGGGCTTGTATTGTATTAAAACACAGCATCTTGTAAAGAGTAGATTCTTGCTGTCCCACACGTTCATGTATGAAAACAAGCTGGACTGGGAACAGTACAGAATTTTCATGTTCTTCCCTCTCCTGAGGGATCCCCTCCTCTAACCTGTCAATCCTTTCCAGTTACTCTACCTCTTTACATGGCGGAAGGGGTGAAGATGAAATGCACACCTGAAACTTCATTTATTCTCAATTAACAGCTGTACAAAAGGAGGTTGCTAGCAAGAAATACCAGGGAGGAGTGGGACCCTCTTTTGGCCCCCGATGCTCCTGCCCCCAGTGAGCAAAAGCCCTCCTGGGGCATAGGAGCTCTCTGGAGGTGAGAGCTCCATGAGCCCCAGCACTTTGGATAAATTTTTTAAGTATTGTCTATCTATCAACATGTGACTGCTAGCAGCGTGTCCTAGTGCTAGGGCTTGTATTGTATTAAAACACAGCATCTTGTAAAGAGTAGATTGACTTAAGTCTTTTTCTGTAGCTCAAACCTTAGAACTGTTTGGGAGGATTTAATCCCATCTCACATGGAAGGTTGGTTGTTTTTTTTAAATTAACACCTGAAATGACATATAAACCCCCAAGATTGGATTTTAAACCGTTCTACAGCGCACAGCATTTGCTCTGACTTGGGCTTCAGAGAAGCTCATGTTTACTGGTTTGACAGGAACCGCCGTCTTGCTCTCCCACATGTTCATGTATGAACACAAGCTTGACTGGGAACAGTACAGAATTTTCATGTTTTCTCCTCTCCTGAGGGATCCCCTCCTCTAACCTGTCAATCCTTTCCAGTTACTCTACCTCTTTACATGGCGGAAGGGGTGAAGATGAAATGCACACCTGAAACTTCATTTATTCTCAATTAACAGCTGTACAAAAGGAGGTTGCTAGCAAGAAATACCAGGGAGGAGTGGGACCCTCTTTTGGCCCCCGATGCTCCTGCCCCCAGCGAGCAGAAGCCCTCCTGGGGCATAGGAGCTCTCTGGAGGTGAGAGGTCCATAAGCCACAGCACTTTGAATAAATTTTTTAAATATTGTCTATCAACACGTGACTGCTAGCAGTGCGTCCTAGTGCTAGGGCTTGTATTGTGTTAAAACACAGCATCTTGTAAAGAGTAGATTAACTTAAGACTTTTTCCACAGCTCAAACCTTAGAACTGTTTGGGAGGATTTAATCCCATCTCACATGGAAGGTTGGTTGTTTTTTTTAAATTAACACCTGAAATGACATAGAAACCCCCAAGATTGGATTTTAAACCGTTTTACAGAGCACAGCATTTGCTCTGACCCGGGCTTCAGAGAAGCTCATGTTTACTGGTTTTGAAGTTGGAAGCAGTTTTATTAGCACTTGATTTCAGAAAATTAGGTTAAGAAAAAAAAAAAAAAAGAAAAAAAAAACCCAAACCCCAACAAAATAAAAAAAAACCCAAAACCAAAAAAGCGATGTTTCCTTCTACACAGCATTTCCTTTTTCCATCTTTATGCAGCTTTAAATGAAGTCCTTCATCCCTGACAATTCCTGAAGACATTTGTAAGGAAATGTTTCCAAAAGATCAGAAAGCAATCTGCAATTTCACACGAAACTGACAAAAACCAGTCCTTTTTTGACTGTTTTGGACACACAGCCCTCCTGGTGTTTCACCCCTCCCAAGCCCAAAAGCAAGCAGCTATCAGGGCCGCAGGAAAAGCTCTAACAGATAATTTCATAGCAGGTTGGCAGAGCGCCATATAAATACCACACACAAAACACACAGCCACAGAGAAACACACAATCTGCTCAGACGTACACACGCAGCGTGTACCCACATGTGCACAGGCAGCCTCACGCGCAAACGCAGGAGCCCCGGTGTCCACCCACCAACGCAGGATCACCCTGAGATGGATAAACACACGCTGGTAACAGCTCCCTGATTTCTAATAACAAGGCAATCCTGCATTTCCTCTGCCTATCATGACTTAAGTCTTTTTCTGTAGCTCAAACCTTAGAACTGTTTGGGAGGATTTAATCCCATCTCACATGGAAGGTTGGTTGTTTTTTTTAAATTAACACCTGAAATGACATAGAAACCCCCAAGATTGGATTTTAAACCGTTTTACAGAGCACAGCATTTGCTCTGACCCGGGCTTCAGAGAAGCTCATGTTTACTGGTTTTGAAGTTGGAAGCAGTTTTATTAGCACTTGATTTCAGAAAATTAGGTTAAGAAAAAAAAAAAAAAAGAAAAAAAAAACCCAAACCCCAACAAAATAAAAAAAAACCCAAAACCAAAAAAGCGATGTTTCCTTCTACACAGCATTTCCTTTTTCCATCTTTATGCAGCTTTAAATGAAGTCCTTCATCCCTGACAATTCCTGAAGACATTTGTAAGGAAATGTTTCCAAAAGATCAGAAAGCAATCTGCAATTTCACACGAAACTGACAAAAACCAGTCCTTTTTTGACTGTTTTGGACACACAGCCCTCCTGGTGTTTCACCCCTCCCAAGCCCAAAAGCAAGCAGCTATCAGGGCCGCAGGAAAAGCTCTAACAGATAATTTCATAGCAGGTTGGCAGAGCGCCATATAAATACCACACACAAAACACACAGCCACAGAGAAACACACAATCTGCTCAGACGTACACACGCAGCGTGTACCCACATGTGCACAGGCAGCCTCACGCGCAAACGCAGGAGCCCCGGTGTCCACCCACCAACGCAGGATCACCCTGAGATGGATAAACACACGCTGGTAACAGCTCCCTGATTTCTAATAACAAGGCAATCCTGCATTTCCTCTGCCTATCACCATGGGCTGCCCTAGTTACATTTTGTTTTCTTGCTGGGGATAAATACAGCGCAAAGAACGCTTAAGTTAAAATTCACATCCCTCTTCCTGATGTTCTCCATGTATTCCACCACGGAGCCTTCGCCCTGACCTGT